CCCCCCCCCCCCCCCGCAGGGCTGACAGCCACCAGCTTTCTGTCTTGATGAGTCCACCCCAAGTTCTGCTGGCTGTGACAGTTCTGTGGCCTTCGGTGGGTGCCAGGGCCCTGGGGCCTCTGAGAGGTCCCACCTGGATCCCCCCACATCCTCCCTTTTGTCTGTTTTCTGGCCTTTTTGTTTCATGGTCCCCACTCTCTACAACTACCACTTTCTTTGGTCACATCTACACACTCGAGTTTACGTTGGGTGTGTTCAGCCCCTAAACACTGCTGGGAGTCTTGGCCCGGAGCCCTCCATTCCAGTAGCCCCTGTTTCCTGGCCAGGTGACACCCCTCGCTGTCTGATTCAAGGGCGTGAAGTGAGCTATTCGTTGGCTTGCGTTACATCTGGTCACCCGCGAGTGCGCACATGACACAAAATGCCACTCGGGTAGGTCACGTCTGACTGAAAACATGCCTCCGGAATTCTAAGATGCTGCGAATTCAGTCATAAGGGATGGGATCCATTTAGTGGCAGCCCTTTAGCCAAAACAGGACCGTGTCCACGCAAGCAGACGTACGGCCCGACGACGGCGTGCAGTGTTCCTGTAATTTTGTTTCTCTTCAGCCGGAGTTTGAGTCTAGAGGATCCTTCTGACACTCGCCCCCTGGCGGTGACACTAAGCATCACACTCACTTTTTCCGTAGCCTGTGCTTTCGGCATCGGCCTGTCAACTGCCCCTAGAATGTGCCGTGTCCTTCCAAGGCCCAGACTGTGAAACACGGATGTGCAGCCACACTCCTTGCGTACTCTCTTCACAGTTAAACGCCTTCTCATTCCCTGTCACCTTTGTTCACGCGCAGAGTTGCAGCCTCCACGGCTTCCTATCTGTCTTTTTAATCGAAATGCCACTGACGTTGAACGTTGTGTAAATTTGAGGCTTACAGGACATTGGTTTTAACACGTTGGGAGCTGATACCTCTGTTATCTCACATACTCGCGTACTTATCGTTTCTCTTTTGCGTTGAGAACAATTCAGATCTGGTCTCTTAAGCAACTTTGACTGTAATCGCTGTGCCGTGCATCAGATCTCCAGAACTGTCTATGTGCTAGTTGCAAGTTCGTATCTGTGGTACTCAGACGGCCAGTTCTGCCCACCCCTGCCTCCCCTCCTAGAGCATCAGGGGAAGCCGGGCCCCGCCAGCACCCTCCTCCCGGACCGCTGGTGCTCTCCCGCTCCGCTCAACCCAGCGCTCCTTGCCGCTGAGCACACACTGCGTCCCCACAACCCGTCCGGGCCGCTGCCACCCTCTCCACCTTGTCACCCTGCCGCTTCCCTGCCGTCCACTGCAGGCCTTTTTTTGTTCCTCACATGCCCCACGTTCCTTTAGACTTTCCTCTCCACCGGGGAAAGTGGCTGTCCGGCTTGGCAGGAGTGGCCCAGTGGGCGCCCCCCTCGCACATCCGTGTCCTAAGGCTGCTGGAATGCATTCCCAGAATAAGCTTAGTAGCGTCAACGACACACGAGCATGACGGTTCTGGAGGTCACAAGTCTGAAACGGGTCTCACTGGACTGAGACCAAGGTGTCAGCAGGGGTGCCCTCCCCACAGGGAGGACCCGCCACCTTGCCTTGTCCAGCTTCTAGAAGCCACCACATTCCTTGCCTTGTGAGCCCTTCCTCCGTCTTCCGAGCCAGCCACCCAGCACCTCCCTGACCCTGCTTCCTGCTTCCTTCGTCTCGCTCGTCCTCGACCACGGCTGGAAAGTTTCTCTGCTTTTAAGGAGTCACAGGGTTAGATGGGGCCCACCTGGGTGATCCAGGCCGCTGTCCCCACCCCTCCTCAATCGCGTCTGCAAAGTCTCTGCCACCACGTCTGTGCAGGTTCCAGGAACGAGGGCGTGGACATCTTGGGGGGCAGTTATTCCGCTGACCACAGCCCCTGGACCATCCCCGGCCGCGCTTCCGAGAGGTCTCCGCTCAGACATCGCCATCGAAACGCTTCTCCACCCTTCACCTGTTTTGTCTCATTACTCGCTGCAGTGGAAAGCGCCACTCATTTGATTACCTGTGCGATTTGTCTGCCCCCAGCGGGACCTTTTGTCCTGTTCACCCCTGCCTGCCCAGCGCCCACAAAAGTGCCTAGCACCACATAAGTGCTTGGTAGTTGCCTGAATAAAACTTCAGGTTTTACCTAAGAGCACAAAGGCGAGAAGAAACTAGTCAAAAGGAGACCAAAGCACGCAAACAGTAGAATGGCAGAAAGCAGGGTCTGAGTTCCCAGGGTAGGCAGGGGCCAGCTCGCAGAGGCTTCAAGTGACGGATTTAGGCCACTCCTCAGAAACCTGGGGGAGGTGGATGGGTGTCAGTATGGACTGAGCAGACGAGATCAGAGATTAGGGCTTATGCCACCAGCTGCGGGGCAGAAGGTGGACAAGGGGAGAGGTGGGTCCGAGCCTTGGCACACGGTTACGGGGAGTCCTGTGTGAGTGGCGTTGTGACCTTGAGCCCAGCCTCCCCTCAATCCCAGGAGGCAGTCTTTCCACTGCCCCTGGGCTGCCTCGCCGGGAGGGGCTGAGCACAGATGGATAGATGGATAGAGGGACGGAAGTAGGGAAAGGAGAATGAGATGGGTCAACAAATGGTGGGAAAGTTGTCGAGGAGATGAATGGAACGGGGGATGGGCAGGCGACTGAAAGACTGACAGAATGAGTGGTTGGAAAGGGGGGGAACGCAGCAGATCTGGGGTTTGTAAAAAGCGAGTTGGAAGGGACGGATGAATGGATGGTTGGAAGGTGGCAGAGGTTTGACAAATGGGAGGGGACGGGTGGGTGGATGGACCATCCGGATCCTGGCAGACGGGTGGGTGGTTGGTTCATTGGTCGGTGGGCCGGTTGGTTAAGAGACATAGTGCTGATCCCCAGCCATGACCTTGCAAAACCCTTTGCAATTTCAGGAAGGCAACAGTCCCCAAGGGAGCAGCCAGGGAGTCAAAATCACCCCAGACCAGCAGAAGAGAAGCAGCTTTTTCCGATGTGTTCTTCTGTGAGGAGCACTGCCTTACTCTGAGCCTCGCTCAGCTGAGCTGACTGTGCCTGTCCTGAGCGAGCCCCTCGCTCGGCCGGGGGCCCTCCCCCCCCAACACTCCCTGCCGTGCCGCGGCCACCGGGCCCATGGCCACCAGACACAGTTGAGAAATTGTTGATTTTAGTAACTGTCTGATCTTTTTTCAACTTTGGAGATGGAATGAGTTAAGGATTTGCTATTTTTCTGGTCTGCGGAACGGGCCCTCTCACCACGTGACCAGAGAGGAAGCTGGAGCGGAGCTGTGGCCGCCAACATCAGCCGGCACGGTGGGCCTCTGTCTCCAGGCCTCCCTGCAGCACAACCGAAGCCCCACCGGAAAGCCCGTCCACGTCCCCACCACAGAAGCCAGGCCCCGGAGCCCAGCGACGGTTCCAGGAGTGCTGGGCCCCCACACCCTGAGCGAGGCGACGCATGCCGGGCCCACAAAGCGTCCAGCCAGCACATCTGACGCCTACCTTCTCCTCTTCTGTCAGTTTTGGACAAGTGACAAAAACCATTCTCTTCCCCCCCCCCCCTTTTCTCTTCTTAACTGTCAAGCCAGACCAAAGGGAAGCACAAATTACGGAAATCCTGAGGAAAGAAGCGTGGGGGGAGCCCTTCCTGTTTCACAGCCAGGTGCTGGTCTGCAGTCCAGCCTCGGCTGGCCTGTGGGGTTCCCCTCTCTCTCGGCATTCCCCGCCTGAGCACCGAGGGGACGCCACGCGTGACCCCGAAGACGCAACCAACCACACACGGTCCACCTGTGATTGGGGCATCTGTCTGCCTCTGGGCCCCCGGGCAGCCCCCCCGCCCCCCACCCCCCGCGTCCTCTTCCCTCCTGCTGTCTCCAAACTGGACGTTCTCTCTAGCTGAGATTTTTTATTTTTCCAGAACGCTGAAGTGATTCCGTCTTTTGATTTGCAGTGGCAGACCCAGGTGCTTGGGAGCCCGTGGTGTGTGCACCTCTGCATGGGATGTGGGCTGGAGAGCGTGAGGTCAGTGCCTGGCGCTGGCTGAGGCCCATGACAGGTTGGCCGCATAGCAGTCGGAGTTGGTTTTAGCTGTCACCAGGTTCTGTTGCCAGGACAGCTCTGCCTCCTGTAGAGACTGCACTGGGATGGCGGTAGCCAGGTCGGAGGCGTCACCAGGAGCCTTATTTTTTCTTATCCTTCCCCCCACTCTCCCCGGCCCTGCCCCAAGTTGCTGTCAGTCCAAGCCATTAAGTGTTGTAGTTTTTCTTTTTGAATTAAACATACCAGCATGAATTGCTCTCCCTCGAAGCTTAATATGCTCTGTTTATATTGATAAATGCACTTAAGGAAAACAAACAAATTAAAGCTCGTTTTAAAGTTAATGATTTTTTTTTACAGCTTATCTTAGTTCTTTCCTTAGTTTTAATTTGTCAGTAAAATCATAGATTGACTAGACTGCCGCTAATCGATTTTTATGTCCACATCGCTCCCTGCAGGCACGCAGCTGTGGCCAGGTGTTGGGTCTGGGGTCCTCAGGATGCCCGTTAATTTAAAAGACAGGCCTGGGGGGCTACTGCGCTCATCCGCAAACCGCCCCAACCCTTTATTTTCTGCTCAGGTCGCCATCTCGGCGCTGTTTGTGAGGTCAAGCCCCAGATCAGGCTCTGCACTGATGGCATGGAGCTGCGTGTTTGGATTTCACTCTCCTCTCTCTCTGTATGCATGATTCAGCCTGGGATAGACACATACTGAGGGATCAAGCGCTGCTGTCAGCATCGTGTGCTCATCATCGTTATTATTAGTATCGCTATTTGTTTTGCTCCCCATGAGTAGAACCCACTTCTGTTTTTTCGTGAGTCTCGTTCTTAACGGGCACATGTCACGTAAATAGCTCACGTTTGAGCTGTATTTGCCCCATGATGCTCCATGTTTGCACCTGTTGCCTGCCTCCCCCCCCCCCCCCCCCCCCCCCCTGAGTCAGGCTGGGGTCCCGGAACCTCCGTCCTGCCTTAGACCCGGCCTTTTGCTGAGAGAGGAGATTTGATGCAGTGGCAGACAGGCAGAGATGACTCCTCGACTTTTTTCTTTTTTTTTTAATAACGGCTTTATTGAGATCTAATCCACCCACCAAACCGTCCACCCACCGAAGTGCAATTAAGCGGCTTTCAGCGTATTCACAGCGATGTGCCGCCATCCCTGCGGTCCATTTTAACACATTCTCCTCACTCGGTCCCCATGAGCTGTCACTCCCCAGACCCCCTCCTCCAGCCTTCTGGCAACCATTAGTCTTTCTGTCTCTGGATTTGCCTGTTCTGGACACTCCATAGAAACGGGATCGTACGCGATGTGGCCTTTTGTGTCTGGCTTCTTTCACTCAGCATAGTTTTCTAGATCCGTCATGTAGCACATGTGAAGACTGCTTTGCACGGCCGAATAATAATCCGTTGAAAGGATGGACCACGGTTTTTTAATCTAGTCATCTGTTGATGGACATCCGGTTATGTCCACTCTTTGGACACCTCAACTGTTGTCTGTTCCGCGGACGTGCCCGGTTTCTTCCTGCCACCGGGCCTTTGCCCTTGCTGTTCCCACTTGTGCAAGCCTGGCCTGCATGTGGACTTGCGTGACAACCGTCTCCCCGTGGACTGTGGGCTCCAGCAGGGCAGGGACAGTGCCTGTCTTGTCTTCTCCATCCTTAGCATCTAGCATGGTGCCCACAGTTGGGGCTCAGCCAATGTTTGTGGAGAGAATGAATTAACAAATAGAATGAAAGCATTGTGGGACGAATAGAACGGTTGAAAACACAGAAAGCTCAGCGTTGGCAGAGCCTGGCTGTCCCACCCCCGCATGTCCCCAGGGCTGAGAAGGCACTGTGGTCCCTACCCAGAGAGCCACCCCACATGGGGCCATGGAAGTCCTACTCACCAGCTCGGGCCTCGAGTGAAAAGCCCAGAATGTGGCACAAGAGAGGAAGGGGCCTTGGAGTCCCAGCCCCATATCTTGTGGCTGGCTGGTTCTTTCCTGGAAGTCCCTCTAGGGGCCACCTGCCCGTTCACGGTTTTGAGGACTGTGGTCACCAAGGGCTGGGGGTTGATTCTGTTGTGACATGCTCAGGGGAGGCCTTTACTGTGTGTAAGACCACATGCCCCGAGCAGGTCAAGGTAATCAGAATGGAGCCTTCTGTGGTGGGGCCTCAGCTGGCCAGGCTAGAAGTGGCCTGAGACACCCTACGTTTCTGGAGACTGAACTTCGTGCAAATGAGACCCCCATGGCCAGGCTTTTTAAAGTGACAGCGCCTCTAGGACAGGCGCGTGCCCCCCCCACCCCCACCCCTGGGGCACGAGGTGGGGAGGCCACTGACCCTGGACCAGGGCGATGGGCCCGAGGAGAGGCCCCCAGCTCAGCCCCTTTCTGCCTGAAAGAGGAGAAGGAAGTGGTTTTGCCCATGTGCCGGGGAAGGAGCTGTAGCACACATCCGGGGCTGCCTGACCCGTTCAGCGCTATTTCCTCCACGCAGGGCCCACATTGTGTGTAGGGCTCCCCAGACCGTTGCGGTGTTTTAAAATCAGAAGGAAAAAAAAAATGAATACAATAATAGTGAGCATATAATAACGAATCCAGCCTGGACTCTCTGGATCTCAGTGCCAACACGGTCATAAAATACCATTTTAGAGACGGTGCTTTGTTTCATTACAGAGGACAGCACAATGTGGCCCCAGCCTGTCCAGGCCTGACGCTGCCTCAGAGCCTCCTCCTAGAGCCCTCTCTTTTTGCCCCCCTCAATCAAGTGAACTCCTCTCTGTCCCTAAGTGCCACTTCCTCCCGATCACCGAAGCCCCCTCTGAGGTTCTTGCAACTCCCGTTCCCCCTTCCAGCAGTTTGTCTGCTCTGAGACGTTAGCAATTAATTTCTTATTCTTCACTGCTCGCTAGATTCTGGAAGCCAGGAGGGTGGGGCTTGCACCTCTTGAGATCACCTCTCTGTCCCCCGAGGATCTGGCACACAGTAGGTGCTCAATAAAGGCTGGTCACGGTCTTCACAGAGCAGGGGCCTCCCTCTACCCGCAGCTCAGCAGTTCTGTGGACTGCGGACAGCCCTTGCGACCAGGTTTGTCCTGGTCCCGCCCCTGGGGCTCACCTGCTTAAGGAAGCAGGAACAGCCTGGGGGCAGCAGCCCCACCCCCGCTGACGTGCAGACCCTGAACCGAAACCGAGGTTCCTGCAGGCTCCCTGCACAGCGAGAGTGAGAGCCTCGGCTGCCCAGGGGTCTCCCAGGTACGTGCCCGGGTGGGGATCCCTCAGCCGGCCACGTGCTCACTTCTGTGCCTGCCCCCTGCCGGGCGAGCCCGGGACCCCAAGAGCCTCAGCCCCATCCCAGACCTCTAGAAGACAGAGCATGGGGCCCAGGTGGGGCCAGAAGGAGGGACAGGGCTGGCAGAGACCAGAAAAGCGGGAGGAATTTTCAGCTTCCTTTGAACAATGGAGCTGGAAAAAGGGCTTTCCTGGCAGGGGAACAGCATGGGTGAAGGCGTGGAGGGGAAGAGAGCTTGGTCAGTTTTGAGTAGAGCGAGGATGTCCTTAGGGCTGTAATACGGGGGCAAGGAGATAGGGGAGCCGCAATGCCAGGGTCAGGAGCTTGAAACTTAGTGCAGATTCATTCAGCCCTAGACCGTTATTCCTCAGCAAACACCCTGCCCCCTCGCTGTCCCTGCCCAGTGCCAGGTAGTGCTGGGGCCCAGAAAAATCTGAAAGAAGCTAGCCCTGGGCCCCGTCCCTAGAGGCCCTTAATATGGGGGAGACAGAGCCAGACACAATGCTTTGTGCAAGTCTCAGCCTTAGGGGCACTCACCTAGGCCTCCTGAGCTAACCACACATATCTCCCCTTGCCAAACCAATTACAGCTGGATGGACCCCTGTGGTCATGACCACAAGCTGCACATCAGCAAGAACCCTCTGGAAACTCTGAAGAAAGAAAATCTATTGCTTGCCAGCCCCGGAGCGTACAAGATAAGCAGGTGAGTAGCCAGTAGACAGAAAGCCAGCACACATGTGCCTGGAGCTCTGCTTGTATTGGGGGTGAGGGTGGGGGCCGAGGGTTTCTGGGGCTCACCCCCTATTGGTGAATTTAAAACATAAGAGAATTTAAAGCGTGGGAAGAGAGAGAGAGAGAGAGAGAGAGAGAGGGAGAGAAAGAAAGAGAGAGAGAGAGAGAGAGAAAGAAAAGAAAGAAAAGAGAAAGAAAGAAAAGAAAGAGAAAGAAAGAAAGAAAAGAAAGAAAGAAAGAAAGAAAGAAAGAAAGGAAGGAAGAAAGGAAGGAAGAAAGGAAGGAAGAAAAGAAGGGAAAATAAAAAGCGACCCAATGACCAGTTACCTAAATCAACCAGGATCTTTAAAATAAAGGAGCCTGGTGGTGGGGACGTGGTGGGGGAAGGGGAGACGGGGAGCATCCTGGCTCTTTATCTAGTTCTGTGGCTGGCAATGTGTTTATCCCAGATAGACTTCATCCAGTTAAAGCCGATGACTTAGCAGTCAAAGCTTAAGTCAGGCACTTGCGTTAGAGAAAGAAAAGCCGACTGTCAAGGCTTCCACTGAACACAGACACTTGAGCTCCAGGAGGCAAAGCTTAGGTAGGAGCAGAGGAGAAAGTGGGAGACGGAGAAGGGCGCCAGGGCTTTGACTAAGAGAAGAGACAGGAAAGCTGCCTGCAGGAGGGGATGTTTTTGCTGGGTCTTAAAGGATATGTAGGAGTTCTCCCAGGTAGAACAAAGAACAAACCTATGTACATAACCCCATGCTAGCCATTACTGGATTCGTGAATATTTATTATTATACATCCAGTGCTTAGTTCTGTACCACCTGTACTTTCCCAGCTAAATATCATGTCCCCAAGCTACAGATGAAAATAAAGGCACAGAGGTGTTAAGTGACTTACCCAAGGTCACACAGCAGCTAAGTGGGGGAGCTGGGGCTTGAGCCCAGGCTATCTGGCTCTGATTCCAGGTTCTTAATTGCTTTGTCACCCTGCTTTATTAAATGCTTTCTTCTTCTGTTTTTTTTTTTTTTTTTTAATGTTTATTTATTTTTGACAGAGAGAAACAGAGCACAGCAGGGGAAGGGCAAAGAGAGAGGGAGACAAAGAACCCAAAGCAGGCTCCAGGCTCTGAGCCATCAGCACAGAGCCTGATGCGGGGCTCCAATCCACGAACCATGAGCCGAAGTCAGACACTTAACCGACTGAGCCACCCAGGCACCCCTATTAAATGTTTTCTTAATAGTTCTCTTTAATTTTACTTGTCCCAGAATTCTTTGGGCCTCCCCTTGGAGGGCAGTCTCAGCATCTGTCTTCAGGTGGAAGAAAGTCAATATTGACAGAGTTAGTCAATATGTCCCCACCCTCTGGAAATAGTATCAACGACCTTCTGAAATATTAAAACATTAGATAGGGCCAGGGTGGAGGGGTGGGCCAAGTTAGGGAGACGGTTAAGGGTGAGCATAAAGGGTCATGAGCAGACCATCCAGGAGAGCTTGACCCCATTGCTGGTTTTGCATTGATTTGATACTCTTTTGTAAATCGGTACTATTATTTTTCTCCTTGTCATTGGCTCACAAAGTCCGGTGTTACCTTGAGCTTAAAACTGTTAAGAACTCGGGGTGCCTGAGTGGCTCAGTCAGTTGAGCATCCAACTTCAGCTCGGGTCATGATCTCACAGTATGTGGGTTCGAGCCCCATGTCGGGCTCTGTGCTGACAGCTCGGAGCCTGGAGCCTGCTTCGGATTCTGTGTCTCCCTCTCTGTCTGCCCCTCCCCTGCTCATTCTCTGTCTCTCTCTGTCTCTGTCAAAAATAAATAAACTTAAAAAAAAATTTTTTTTAAAGGAAGAAAGAAAGAAACACAAGCCAGTGTCAAGCCCCTTGCCCTGGCCAGCCAGAGGACTTGTCAAAGGAGGAGGCACCAAGAACTGTAATAGAGCAAAGTATGGGGAGTGGAGCAGGCGTGACTCTCTCTTCTCTCTCCTGCTGCCAGGTAACTGCTCCCCAGGAAGCCATGAACGAAGCCGGAAAGCTGCCCCCGCCATTGCCCCCACGACTGGACTGGTTCGTGCAGACGCAGGTGGGCCAGCTGGCCCAAGGAGGGGTCCCTGCATGGTTCCATGGTGCCATCTCGAGAGAGTGAGGACACACCCGTACCTTCTACCCTGCCCTTCACCCTCTCTCCTTGCCTGGGTGGGTTTTCTGCAGGATTCTGGGCTCAGCTCAGCTCCGGGTGTTAAGAGTAAAAAAAGAGCCCTCAGGCCCTTGACGCTTGAACCCTGCCTCTTCTGTGGACTCACTGGGTGACCAGGGCAAGTTACTTCCCATCTCTGGACCTCAGCTTTCTCTCCACAAGTGCCCACCACCCCAGCACTGCCAGGCACCCCTCCCCCAAGACCAGGCATCACCAAGCAATGCTGGCAGGATGCAGCCTCAGAATCCTTCTTCACACAGGGCCCCCAAACAGCTGCTCTCTCTCAATGCATCAGGGACATGAGCAGCATGTCCATACCGGACAGAGTTCTGGACTTTCCACACTGGGCTGCGTTCTGAGGCCATGAACAAACTCACCTCGTTAGTCACCCACTTGGTTCCAAATGAACGGAGAAAAGACTGCGTATGGCCTCCCTTGGCGTGCGGGAAATTGAGAGAACGTTGTGAAAGCCACCGAGAGGACGAAGCAGGCATTGTCTCTGAGGTCTCGGGTGTGCCAGTAGAGATACAGTGTGAGCCACACGTTGTAATTTTAAAGCTTTTAGTAGCTAGAGCAAAAGAAGTAAAAAGAAACAGGTGGCATTCGTTTTGATCCTATCTTTTATTCCACCCAGGATCATTTCAATAGGAGTACTCAGAACTCATTGATAATTTAGTAAGCATTCCTTTATCTTGTCCTAAGTGCTCAAAATCTGGTGTCGTAGGCTGAACGGACATCTTGATTCGGACCAGCCACATTTCAAGTGCTCAGTCGCTACCCATAGTCAGGATTAGCTCGGGTTCATAGGCTCCCCAGCTTGTCCTGTAGAAGACCACCTTCCTGTCTGTGATCCCCGGATAATAGGAGTAGTAATCATAGCATTTGGTGAGCAGTTCTCACGCTCGTGTTCCACGCATTTGATCTGCTCTCCCGTCAGTCCTGGGAGTGAGGGTTTTACTTTCCCCTTGAGGAAGCTGAAGGTCAGAAAGGGACTGATGTCAGGTGCCACACGGCTGATGAGCAGCAGAGCTGGGGTCTGAATTCCAACGCGTCGGAGAACAGGCATTGTCACCTACGACACCTTGATCCACCCAAAGATGCCTTCGTGGGGGTATTTTAGGCATTGGGAAGGCAGGCGGGGGCTGTGGGGGATGGGAGCAAGTCTGTCCTGGGGTCAAGGTCATCAGAGGCCTCCCGCCACAGCTGGGAACACCCCTGCCCGTGAACGTCCCAAGGTCTGAAACAGCTGAGAAGAAAACACGATTTTAGGTTTGTTCAGTACCGGGATGACAGGTGCACCAGGAGTCTGGCCGGTACGCGGGACAGCTGGGTCACAGTCGTCTCCCTCCCGTGTGTGTTCTTCCAGGGATGCCGAGCGTTTGCTGGAGTCACAGCCGCTGGGATCTTTTCTCATCAGGGTCAGTCACAGCCACGTGGGCTACACGCTGTCCTACAAGTAAGGCCTGGGCAAGGGACGAGGGAGGGGGCAGGAGGGCTCCCGGGCTTCCTCGGAGGGGGCAAGGGGTGCTTCATGCCACGACGTCTCAGAGAGCAACTGGTGAAAAGTTCTTGTAACCAGCATATGGAGGCTTGGTGGTAACTGAGCCTGTGTGTCTGAAAACAGGGGCTGCTGGGAGCCTGGGCGAGTGAGCACTGCCCCTCGCTTCTCAGCCCCCACCCCCCACCCCCATCTACCTGGCAATTCTCTGACTCCACCCAGAGGGACGTGTTAGGGAAACTCAGGGCAGTCCGGCTCCTTAAGGCCTCAAAAGCTGATCTGGCATCTCAGAAGATTCAGCTGCACAGACTACTTTTCAAAAGGATTCTAGGCCAGAGGAATAAAAGACCCATGGCCCCACAACAGAGTGGCCCACAGGGGAAAAGCTTAGGGCCCGAGTCACACAAAGGCTTGGCTGTGTGACCTAGGGACTTAGGCCATTACCTGGTCTGTGCTGCCCTTCCCCAAAGTCCCTCTGCCTCTGCATCACAGGAATGCTAAATCAATCACAGGAGTCCTCAATGGCACAATATGATATAGTAAGCACATAGTGGGCACAAGCAGCATCCATTCATTAACAGAGCATTTATCAAGCACCTGCTGTGTGCCAGGCATACAGCCTTAGCCTGGGGCCTGACTCAAATTTTCATTATTTAATCATTTCGCTGATCATGACTCCTTAGCCAGGCACCAAGCTAAGCTTTTGTCTGCAGTAGCTTATTCCGCTTTTGTAAGAACCCCTGAGGTTAGCCTTGGTAGCCCCAGGTTACAGATGAATGAGGCAGGAAAGCGCGAAGGTCACTTACCTGAAAGCGCTGTCACATGGCTAAAGAGCACGAGGCTAATGGGAGCCTGAAGCTGGTGCCATGTTCGAGGTGGGCTGGGAGGAATGAGAGGAAAACGGAATTTTCCAGCTCCAGCAGTGTCTCCGCAGAGCCCAAAGCTGCTGCCGCCACTTCATGGTGAAGCTGTTGGACGATGGGAGCTTCATGATCCCTGGGGAGGAGAGGGTCCATGCCTCGCTGCACGCCCTGGTCACCTTCCACCAGCAGCGGCCTATGCGGCCACACGGGGACCTGCTGACACAGCCCTGTGGGCAGGTGAGGGTTACACCCCTGCGGGCCTCAAGTCAGCCTCCCCTGCCTTGCTAGCCAAGCCCCCAGATTCATTCCCACTCATCCCATCCAGCCTCTTGTGTTTCTGTCACTCGTGGTCCCTCTCCTCCCACGGCTCCACCCCTCCTGCCTTGTACCTGCCTCAAGCACTCTGTGTGTCCCCAAGCTAATTTTTCCAAGGGCTCATGTGCGGGTGGTGAGGGGTATAACCTTGGCCGATCTATAGGAAGAGAGTATTTCCCTATAAGGCTTGTGGCGGGGGTAGAGGGGTGTAGCCCTCAAAAGCCAGCGTGGGAGGGGCATGCTTCCTGACCAGGGCCGTGGGCAAGGCAGCTCCTGAGCCCACCACCCCCAGTTTGTCTGGGACCACCGCGTCCCCCTCCTTGGGGCGGAGCTGCAAGTCCCCTCTGCCCCGCAGAAGGATCCAGAAAACGTGGATTATGAGGATCTCTTCCTTTACTCCAATGCATTGACTGAGGAAGTCACCAGCCCCACCCATGGCCCCAGCAAGCATCAGAACCCTTCCTCCTGTTCCACGGTTGCACCTGAGGAGGTATGTGACAGAAAGCTGGCATCTCCCACACGGGAGGGGCAGGAGCAGCGGTGGCCAACAGCTCCCAGAGGAGACTTTCTAGAGCGACAATTAGATCCTATAGCTCCAACTAAAGAAGCTTCCGGTGATTTTGCAGGACCCTGCAACTAAAATCCCGGCCCAGTTCCAGCCCCTCTGCTATCCCTTCTGCTGTTCAGACACATCAGGCTAACCTCGGGGACTTTGCATGTGCTGGTCCCACCCCAAGACCTTTGCACATGTTGGTGGCACCCACCCCAGGGCCTTTGCACATGCTGTGTGCACTCTGCCCCCAGATTTCCTATGCCCGGCTTCTTTCTTCAATTCCTCAAGTGTCTCCCTCCCCAGCTCCAGGCTGAAAGTAATCCTCTCTGCATTTGCCATCCCATCACCCTGTTTACGCGCTGCGGAGCACTCCTCACGATATACAACGTCTTGTTTATTTGTTGGCTTTCATGTTTCCTGTCTGCCTTCCCTATCAGACTGTGAGCTCTGAGAGACCTGGGAATCTGTCTGGCTGGCTTGTCCACCCTGTCTCATGCATATGCCTAAGTGCTCCACTAATGGATCTGTAGAGTAGGTGAATGAATAAATGAACGAATCCCATCTCCTCAGGGCTGATTGGACCCTCAGGAGCCCCTAACCCCCCACACAGCAGGGAAATTCCAGCAGCAGTGGAAATCAAACAGGCCAGTGCGATGAACATCAGCGGGTGTGGGGCTAAAGTGTGAAGGGAGCAGTCAGGGAAGACCTCCCAGAGGAGATGGCATAGGGCTGGGACATGCAGGGTAAGGAGGAGTCAGCCACACACCGAGATGCAGGGAGGGTGTTTCAGGCAGGGAAGAGAGCACATGCAAAGGTCCTGAGGCTCTGTATGTTTGGAAAACAAAAGAACAACAAAAGCCAGTGTGCGGATGGAGTGCGGTGAGTGCAGAGGAGGTCACCGGGAAGTAAGGGGCCAGGATCAGGAGGAGACAATCACGCAGGACCTCGGGGCCAGGGTGAGGACATGAGGACATGGGGTTCTTCTGTTCCAGGTGTGCAGGGGGACCCGCCATGGGAGAGCCTGTGGCTGCCAGCTGCAGAAGGGGGTGCCTGGGGGCAATGGTAGAGGTGGCAGGAAGGAGGCAGGGACTGTCCAGGTGGGAGGGACCGGAAAAAGATCTCTAGGGGTGGAACAAGAAGATATTTGGGACATTTTGGAAGGGAGCTTGCCGATGGCTTGGAGGGGGAGGGGGAGGGGGAGGAGAAGCTGGACGTTTGTCGTGGTTTGAGTCCCTGGGCCCTCCATTGTTTGGGAGGTGATCCCAGGAAGTACCACGGGGGGAGCCAATGAAGGGCGTCTTAGCGAACAGGTTCCCCTGTAGGCTACCAGGGCTCAGTCTCCCGGGGAAGTCTGGGACTCTGCGTGGAACTGGGCACTTCAGTTATCCCACCCTAGGGGTGAGGAGCTGGGGTACTGATCCTCCAGCTTCCAGTAGCCACTGGTCAAGCGCTGTTCCTGGGAGAGTTTAATTCTCTGGCACTTGTGGCCTGCCGGTGTGGCCAAGGAATGACCCCAAGCAGAGTCCCCACTGCTGGCATTTGGGAGCGGAGCTGGGGGCGCCTGCGTGCCCAGGGCAGAGGGATACGGATGCGGCATTGTCGGCCATCTGCCACAAACGTCACCTGGTTTTGGCCTGAACAGCCGGGTAGATCAGGGGTCAGCAAACTAGGGCCCGAGGACCACATCTGGCCAGTTTCCGTATGGCCCTGCGTCCCGGTGGCCCACGAGCTGAGCGTGGCTTTCATGTTTTCAAAGAGTGTTGAAACAATTAAAACTAAAGTAATATCTCATGCGATATTATTTTGTGAAAGTCGGACGAAAGCCAAATTTCCACGTCCATACGGTTTTCCTGGAGCGGGGGCACACGTTCTGGTCGATGTGCTATCCCTGGCCGCTTTGCTCCGCGACAGCAGAGCTGGGGAATGAGACAGAGGCCGTATGACCAACGAACCTGAAAACGTTTGCCCTCTGGCCCCTTATGACAAAAGTTTGCCAATCCCTGGGGTGGGGGGGGGGGGGGGGGGATAGTGAAGCTGGTTATGGGGATGGGAGAGATGGGTCATGGGGTCAGGCTTGGGTTCACCTGGGGTCCTTCTCAGCCCCAAGAAGATGCCTGAGTGGGACCCATGTCCCAACCTCCAGGGCAGATTCAGAGGTTTGGCGGGCGGGATGGCCCCAGGTCTCACCTGCGCTTGGTTTCAGACCTCAGGAAGGCCCATCCTGCTCCATCGGCCAAAGGGAAGGAGGCCATCGGCAAAGGCAAGCAGAGACCCCAAGGAGGAGGCCACTTCCTCCTGCCCCCCGAAAGCCCCCCTTGAGGAAGCCTGCCAGAAACTCTGGAGAAACTTCAGGATGCTCCCCGAGACGGGCAAGAGGTTCCAGCAGCAGCTGAAATCCCACTCGGCACCTGTGAACTTGTCATCGCTCTGGAATGCTGGGCCACTGGCACTGGCACACAGCTCAGGGGCCAGGCCAGGTGACACACACTGGGAAGGCGACGTCTCCACAGCCCGCTTTGCAGCCACGTCCCTCACAAGTCCCGCACAGTCCCAGGATCTGAGAGATGGAGGTGACCCCTCCGGGAAGGCCTCAAGATTGGCCAGCGGGAGCAAGGTGACCCCGAGGGTCAGGAGTTGGCACCGAGTGGTAATGAGGGCCTTGTCCTCAAAAGCATCCAAACCGGAGACAGAAGGGTTGGCAGAATCCCAGAGGGACTGGCTCCCTGAAGAGTACCTCACGCCGCCACCCTTTGCCCCTGGGTACTGTTAGAGCTTTGCCCTGGCTCTGGGACCCTTGCTGCAGGGGCTGCTCACACCGGACCCCTGGTTGTCTGCCCACCAGCCCGCAGGAACCTGAAAAATGTAATAAAGGCATTGCTTGGGTCCGGCCCTGCCGTTGCCAGTGGGGTGACCTGGTTACTCGAATAGTAATTATCAGTTACAGCCGGGGGCACAGTAGGTGCCAAGTTCATGATTTCTTTTACACCCCCAAGCAGACCCAGCAGGTAGGCTCATGCTGCACACTTTAAAGAGGAGACTAAGGGTCCAAGAGGAGGAGAGGTGCGGCCAAGGTCACCCAGCTACAGGGTGTGAGCACCTGGATTGGAAAGCTGGTCAGGTGGCGCCCTTTCCCCACGTCCCCTGCGTGTGGCTCAATTCCAAGTACGTCCTCGCCTGTAAATGGAGCTGCTGACTCCTTCCTCCTGGGGTTCCCTGCCGATGAAGGAGGTGAGACTTGCAGAGGGCTTGGCCCACAGTGCAGACATCGACATCAGCTCTAGGGGAAGCTCACGAGCCTCTTTCCTTTAAAGGAGGAGAGGAAGCCCGGGGTTGTGGCTGGTGGCGAGCTCTGGAGAGGGTCCCAGGTCACAGGGCTGTGTGACCTCTGGCAAGTCACTAGACCTCTCTGGGCCTGCGGGCTCATCTGGAAAATGGGGAGAGGCGCAAGCAGTCCCTCATTCTCAGGATGCACCAGCAGGATGCACAAGAAAGCTGAGACTTTGGCTCACGGAAGGTGCTTAGTAGGTGGAGGTTGGAGAGTGGGAGTGGGGTCTAGAAATGATGCACGTGGAAGGTCCCTGGGGGCGAGGCTCGATTGCAGTAATGAGCACTCTTTGGACTGACTGGGGCTATCGATGGGGCCCCAGGGCGACCACAAGTGCAGTGAGTGTGGGGCTTCTCAAATCTGCAAAGCGTAGGTGTCTGGGATCTGGGCACAGGTGGACCTGGGTTCAAGGCTGCCTTTGCAGACAACTTGAGGTGTGGCCTTGGGCAGATCACTCTGTTCCCTGAATGAAGGGTGACTGCTTCTCGGTCAGCCCCGCTGGGATGTCATAGGCAGCCGGTGCAATGGCAGAGAGACAGGTGCCTCGTAAACTGTAAAGTACGGTGCCAGCCTCAGTGAATGACGTTGCTGCCCCCCCCCCCCCCCCCCCCCCGCCGAGGCCTCCTCTGGCAGTTCTAATCGGCAAGGAGTTAAAGCTTTGGTCCCCTTGAGAAACTCCAGGACTGGGGGGGGGGAGGGGGGAAGAGGGGACTTGAGAGGTTGGGGGAAGGGGTCCACGCTGGGCAGCCCTGGGGTGAGATCGCATGGACCTGACCTCCACATCTGGTCTCTGTCCACCGAGACTCACGACTACCCAGCGCTTCCGGCCCTCACAGCGGACAGAGAGCTAGAGGTCAGTCCCTTTCCTGTGTAAATGGGGAGATCGAGGCCCACAGAGGGCGTAGCCACACCTGGGGGCGCACACAGTGAGGGCAGAGGTGAGATCTCAGGCTTCCTGTCTCCCATCCGGCAGGTTTAAGGTGCAAAATACATCCTCCAAGCAGATGTGACTCAGTGCCGTGTGTTTATTCCCAGAACCCAGGGAGGCCGGATTCCACAGTGGAGTGACAGGTCACGCCGGCCTCCTCTGACCCGGCTTCTCCACGGTGCCCTCAGATGCGGATGTGGAAGGTGCTGGGTGCAAAGAGATATAGGGTCAGTGTCATCGGGCGAAGGGTTACCCTCCCTCATCGTTCCCCCAGACTCTCCCGCCGGGGGTCCCTGAGATAGGCAAGGAGCCATGGAAGGGGGGAGACGGATCCTCTCAAAAACCCGAGGCCGTGCCCCCCCACCCCCACCCCCAGCTCCCACAGGGGCTGAAAGCATATCTCTTTGGATCAGTTTACATCCCGGCTCCGCCCCAGACTTGCTATGGGACTCTGAGTGAGTGGCTGTGCCTTCCTGGGCTTCAGTTTACCCCTCCGTAAAATGGGGATAATAGCCATCCCTCCCGCATGGGGCTGTAATGAGGGCTAAGGGGGCGAATGCACAGGGAGCTGTCACACAGGGGTACTGTCCGTGGTAGGGCTCATTCAGTTGCCATTATCCGCGTCTCCGCTAAGACACCAACCGCGCTTCTCCAGGTAGAGGAAGGGGGCCCTCTGCGCACGTAAGGACACCGCCCATAATAACAGCCGCAACAGCAACCACAGCACACATTGAGCACCTGCTGTGTTCCAGGCACAGCTCTAAAATCTTTCCGTGCGCTGACTCAGGGGTCAGCCAACTTCTTCTGTCAAGAGCCACATAGGTGATATTTCCAGCTCTGCGCAACGGCTCAGCTGGGTCTCGTAGTTAGAAAGCGGCCGGAGACGGTGCGTACACATTCAGCCGTGGCTGTGTGCCAATAACACCCTTGATGGACACGGAAATTGGAACTTCCTATCCAGGTCATGCGTCACGCAGTATTACTATTCCTTAATCTTTCCCCCGCCATTGAAAACATGTAAAAGCCATTCTTAGCTCACGGGAGGTACAAAAACAGGTGGCTGGCCGTCCCCTGTATTCACTCGCTCTCAGCCCTCCGGTGGGGGCTTTGATTCCGCCCAGGACTGCCAAGCACAGTTGTACCCTCTGCCCACTGCAAAATGTTCAGAAAAGTGAGGGCTGAAGACCAGCCATGTTCCATTCACCCAAAGAGCTATGTCCGCCCACGGGGCGTGCCCAAGGGGTCCCCGATTATCCCCATTTTAAAGATGCAGGGACTGAGGCCAGGGAGGCTGGGAATGCTCTCTAAGATGACAGATGAACGAATGGAGGAACTTTCACAAACGGGGTCTGGGCTCTAGTTCTGTAAGAGCCCCTCTCAGACATGGAAATCGCCAGGAAGGTCACCTGAGGAAGTCGGGTGCCCGCAGGATCATGTTCTGGAAGTCTTCCAGGGAGAGCCGCCCATCGTGATCCCCATCGGCCTCGCCCAGCACCTTCTCACACACCAGGCTCACCTCCTCGGCGCTCAGCTCCCCCCGCGTCAGCTTGGTCACCGTCTGCTCCAGGTCCCACGCACAGATGTAGCCATCGTCGTTGAAGTCTGTGCCGCAGGATGGACAGGGATGTAGGGTGGGGGCTCATCTGGCGGCAGGCCTCTTGTCCCCACGTTACAGAGGAGGAAACTGAGGCAGCGGAGGGAACCTAGGACCCTGGGGCAATAGCTGGAGCCTTGCTTTAGAATATTGGGCAGGGACCTGCTGGGAGGCCATTCATTCACTCAACAAGTATCGAGGGAGTGCCTCCTATGTTCTAGGCACTGTGATAAATTTCCCTCCAACCAACAAGCTTTTATTGAGCACCTACTATGTGCCGGGCGTGCGAGACAGATGGGGAAGAAAACAGTTACGGCTGCGGCCCTTGGGTCTCATCAGAGAGGTCAGTAAGAAATGAACAACAGATCACAGGGGCGCCTGGTGGCTCCGTGAGTTAAGCGGTCGATTCTTGATCTTAGCTCAGGTCCCGATCACACGGTTCGTGAGACTGAGCCCCACAGTGGGCTCTGCGCTGACAGTGCAGAGTCGGCTTGGGACTCTCCCTCCCCCTCACTCTTTGCCCCTCTCCCACTGTCTCTCTCTCTCCAAATAAATAAATACAATTTAAAAAAAGAAGAGAAAGGAACAGATTATGAACAAGAAGTTAAGAAGCACTGCTTCATGCTGAGAGAGAAATAGGATGTGGGGCAGAGGCTGCTTTTGACCTAGACTGCAAGGTAAGAAAGAGTCAAGGGAAAGGTGTTCCAGGCAGAGGGAACAGCAGAGGCAAAGGCCCAGAGGGAGACCGAGTTTGGTGTGTTGGAGGAAAAGTGAGGCCAGTGTGGCTGGAAAGGAGTAAGGGCGTGAGGTCAGCAGGTACCCAGGTGGGGCAGGACGGGGCCATGCACGGCCTCGAAGCCCTGTGGCGGCAGGCACAGCCCCCGGCTGGAGCCCTGGTCTGTTCCCACTCCCCACCCCCACGCTCCGCCACCCCCGGGCCCTGCACGCACCATAAATTTTGAAAGCATAGTAGGCTTTGAGGTCACGGGGAGCCATTTCGCTCATCACGGAAAACATGTCCAGGAAGTTGTCCAAGGTCATGTGGCCGTCCCCATCGTCAGAGAACACCTGGGCAATCCTCTGGCGGAATGGGTTGTCCTGGGGACAGGAAGCAGGGTGGCCATCCCTGACCAGGGTCTCAGGGCCCCAGGTGGAATCGCTTTCAGCACCCACCTTCCTGAAACCTGCAAGTACCTCCCCACCAAGACTTCCTCCCTCTCACGGACCCAGCAAAGGACTTCAGGCAACTCTTCTCTCTGCCCCTGAGGTCTGCGTGGCCTTGACCACCCTTCCGGCTCCAGACACAGCCACATGACCCGAGTGAGGCCAATCAGAGATCACCATCCACTAGGAGACCCTGATTGGCTCTGGAGTAGGCAGGGTGACCCAAGCTGGCCAATCAGAGGCTGCCCTGGATGTTTTCTGAAAGACGGGGATGGAGGTCCCTGCCTTCTGTTGGTTGCAGAGCTGACAGGAGGAAATCTGCGACCACTGGGGCTTCCCTCACTATCTCAAGAGGGTAAGCTGCCTGAGACTGAAGCCTCTTCCTGGGAGGCACTGAGAGATGGAAGGAGATTCCTGAGCATGTCGAGACCCTGGTTCCAGCCATACCTGGTGCCAGCTCTACCCCTGGAGTTTTTGCTCATGTGATCCAATAGATTTTGTCCTTTATTCTTTAATTTTTTTTTAACGTTTATTGATTTTTGAGACAGAGAGAGACAGAGCATGAACAAGGGAGGGTCAGAGAGAGAGAGGGAGACACAGAATCCGAAACAGGCTCCAGGCTCTGAGCTGTCAGCACAGAGCCCAACACGGGGCTTGAACTCACAAACCGCGAGATCATGACCTGAGCCGAAGTCAGACGTTTAACCGACTGAGCCACCCAGGCGCCCCGTCCTTTTTTTTTTTTTTTTTTAAGTTTATTTATTTATTTTTGAGAGAGAGAGTACAGTGGGGGAGAGGCAAAGAAAGAGAAGGAGAGAGAGAATCCCAAGCAGGCTCCACACTGCCGGTGCAAAGCCCAGCTTGGGACTCGAACTCA